ACGAGGCCCTCGTATCCCCTTCATGCGCATCCTTATTACACAGGTTGGCTGTATGCTTGGGCCCCCCTTCGTTATACATATATCTATATATATATATAGCAAGCACGATCAAACACAATAACAGCACATTTGTAAAGTCGTTGAGGTACATTCAAAACGACCGCACCCAGGACGACCACTCTAAGCTCGCTTAGGCACGCTCGAAAACAATAGCATCTATGATGCCAACGTGCGCTTCTTCCGTACGTCCAACGACCCCACACGCCCGCCTTCCGCACGGAGGCCTAATTTGGCCTCCCAGAGTCTGAACATGATCAGAGGGACCCAAGTTGATGCTTACGTGGTCTTCCTTCCTCCCACCCCTCCGCGTTCGCGAAGTCCGGGAACTGGAAGGTCAACACCCCGGAGAACTACCTGGAGCAGGCGCGGGTCGAGGTCGTGAAGATGCGCAAGGACCTCGACGCGATGCTGGAGTCGCTCGGCTAGAGGCCCTCGTGTACGGTCTTCAGCGGGCATGTGCGAGTGACTGGCTGGAGGCGTCACCGGGCTTGCCCCCTCGAGCTCGCAGTGCTGGCGTCACTGCCCCCGCGGCTTCGAGAGCTGCCATGCGTCTGGTCGCAGCAGTTTGAAAATGCCTCCGGGCCGTCCGGGGGCTCGTCCCTTGCTCGTGCTCTTCTGCCCTTCTTCCCCGTCCTTGTTCGCTTGCTCCGCTGTTCCTCCTCTTCCCGCCCCTCGTCCACATTCCTCCTTGTTCCGCTCATCCTCCTCCCCGTCCTTCCTGTACTCTGTATCCCCCCTTCCCCTCCCTTTCTGTTTACCATCTTCTGGTCCTCCTCCTCCTCCTCCTCCTCCTCCTCTTCCTCCTCCTCCTCCTCCTCCTCATTCCTCCTCCTCCTCCTCCTCCTCCTGCCTCCTCCTCCTCCTGCCTCCCCCCTCCGTCTCTTGCTGATCATTCCTGTCCTCTTCCTGTGGCTCCTCGCGTCCTCCCCGTCCCCCATCGGCTCCCCACAAATGGAGGAGGAGGAGGAGGAGGAGGAGGAGGAGGACCAGTGTAAACCCAAGACGCATCAAAGATGTTGCAACGATGTTGCATTCAACCCTGCCTCTAAATTTCCTCTTCATAGGGCCCTCCAAGAATTCATTTGCATTGTAGCAAACGACCCACTGAAGAACAAGCGTATGAGATGTCACATTCGTTTCAAATCACACTTCCTGGGGCGCCAGCGTCGCAAGTCAACATGGCTGCTGCGTCCTGACAGTCCCAACTTGCGCCAGAACGCTGTTCCTGGGACCTCAATCCCGCCAGTCAACGTGACTGTTGCGTTCTGACAATTCTACATCTTGCCAGAACGCCGTTACTGGGACTTCGACCATGTGAGTTTTTGAGCTGACGCAAACTTTCAAAATACACCTGCGCGACGCTAAGGCGAGAGCAACCCCTTGAGCAAGAACCGCCCTTCATCCTTGAAACTGTTGCGCACTTTCAAGACGAAGGCGCGCGGCGCTAAGGCGAGAACAGCATTCTGAACACCACCCGCCCTCCATCCTTGAAGCTGCTGCACACTTTTAAGGCGACCGTGCTCGGCGCGAACGTGAGAGCGACATATTGTGAGCCACCCGCCCCACATCCGTGAAGGTGTAAGACGAAATTGCGTGGCGCCTACGCGAGACCCACATGTTGAAAACGACCCGCCCTCCAGCCGTCAAACTGTTGCAACGTGTCAGAACAATTTTGCGCGGCGCTAAGGCGAGGGCCACGTTTTGAAAACCACCCGCCCTCCATCCGTGAAGCTGTTGCACGTATCAAGCTTCAGGATCAAAAGGGGGAGGGGGTCGCAGGCATAACGCCTGGCCTGCCCTACCAACACGCCTGGTGGTGCGACAGAGATGATTATCATTCACAAGGAAAGTGGATCGAGGAGGAGGAGGAAGAAGAAGAAGAGGGAATCGTGGCGGAGGAGGAAGAATTGGAGGATGAGAAGGAGGAGGAGGAGGAGGAGGAGGAGGAGGAGGAGGAGGAGGGGAGGGAGAGGGAGAGGGAGGGAGGGAGGGAGGGGAGGGAGGGAGGGAGGGAGGGAGGGAGGGAAGGAGGAGGGAGGAAGGGAGGGAGAGGAGGGAGGAGGGAGGAGGGAGGAGGGAGAGACCCCCCCTCCCTTCTCATCGTTCTCCCCGTCCTCCTGTTGCTCCTTCCCTCCGCCTTCCTCGCCTTCTCGCTCCCATCCTGCGCGCTCCAGGGCTTCCGCCTCCGCGTGTGGAGCAAGAGATCGGGGAGGAGGAGGGGGAGAAGGAGGAGAAGGAGGAGAAGGAGGAGAAGGAGGAGGAGGAGGAGGAGGAGGAGGAGGAGGATAAGGAGGCAGGAGGGGCAGGAGGAGGAGGAGGGGGAGGAGGAGGAGGCAGGAGGGGGAGGAGGAGGGAGATAGGTACGGTGAGGCGCGCATCCCGCGATCACTCCAGCGAGCCTCTGGCAGGCCCGCGGCATCTCGGCCGCGCGGGGGGTGCCCACGGAGAGCAGCGCCAGGGCACGGGGCCGAGAAACCGCGTGGGGTCGACGGCAGCCCCCTGGGGTCTAGGCCTCCCAGCTGGTGCCCGAGCAGATGGGGCCGGAGGAGGATCGCCCCGCACCGCCGATGCGTCGCCGGATTCGGCTCGAGGTGGGGCCCGTGCGTTCCCGCGCCGACGCCTCGCCGATTGATCCCCGCTGCATCGGCGATGCATCGGCCATGCACTGGCGGTGCGGCGCGATGCCTCGAGCCCGTCCGCTCGGTCCCCGTCTGGGAGGCCTCCGTGGAGCCTCCGAGGTCGGAGGGCGTGCAGTGGCGCGGCGCCTGCGGGGGGGGGGCCTCGCGCGGCCCCCGAGAGGGTGCCGAGGGCCCCGCCCAGGGCAGCTTCCCTCCCCAGAGGGTCGGGGGCCCCGGGGGGTCCCTGGCGCTTTGCCCATCGTGCAGGGAGCGCGCGTGGGCGCCCCTCTTCCCCTCCCCCCCTCCTCCTGGCATCGCTCGGGCGTGTGCATTTTTTTTTTCTCGGCGAGGGCCATCGAGGAGCCTCCTTGATCACTCGGCGAAGAAGCCACGCGTGAAACAGAAAAAAACACAGGGAATGGACGTCCGAGCGATGGCCAGTCCTGCGCCGCTCGGGCCTAGCCCCCCTTCGCTTCCGCCGGGCGGGGCCGGCACCCGATAGAGATCGTGCCAGAGCGGGCGTCGCGTGGCATGCTCGAGGGGCCTCGCGTGCCCCCCCCCCCGAAAAGCGGTGTCTCCTCCTCCTTCGCCCGTTTTTGCTCGATGCTGATGCGGCGCGGATTTGGAGTGGGATCGACGCGGGTTCGGCGCGGACGTGACGGTTCCGACCTGGATTCGACGCGGATCAGGGGCGCGACGGGGCAGACCAGGCCCCCCGAGGAAGCAACACGAGTGCAAGGTTTGTCGCTGCGGGCTGCATCGGAAACGAGGGCTCGCGCGTCGTCGAAACAGGGGCCAGCAGCAGCCATGCTGCAGAGCCCAACCAGGAGTCGGCGTCACCCCAACGTGCTTGCACTGTGTGTGCGTCGCCCCCTCGGGGGCGACGCGTGCGCCGAGAAATCCTGCAGTAGACGCGTCGTGGCGGGTGCTTTCTGGCCACGCCGCCCGGGAAACGATCTACTACAGGATAGGCATCCTGCATGTTCGCGTCGGACGCGCGCCTCCAAGGATGACACAGAGCAGCAGCACGTCCCCGTGCGCCCCAAAGATTATGTCGGGCGTGTCCCCCTACAGGGGGATTTTCGACGACAAATAAAAATACTCAAAAAATATTCCAAAAGGGTAAAAAAGAATAAAAAATAGTCCCCAGACTATTTTGGGACTATTTTTTGATTATTGTTGGGGTATGTTTTATTTTTCGTCGAAAATCCCCCTGTAGGGGGACAGGCCCGACTTAATCCAAAGAGCGCGATGCGGCAGGCGCGGGACTGCGACGTCCCGGAGAGGGGCCGGCCTACCGGGGCAGTGCCAGCGGCCCGCTGGCGCCCAGGTCGGGTCGGGCCTGCAGGCAGGCAGGGTGGCACCCTCGGGAGCAGGCCCGCGGCTCTGCAGAGCCCCACGGCCATCGCCTCGGAGGGGATCGACTGCAGAACCGATCCTGGCATCGCTCGGACGTGGTGCATTTGTTCTCGGCGAGGGTCATCGAGGAGCATCCTTGATCGTTCGGCGAAGGAACCACGCACGAAACCGAAAAAAGCACAGGGAATGGACGTCCGAGCGATGGCCAGCGATGGAACCCCAAGATTCACCACCCACCAAACCACCCCAACCCAACCCGGAGGCCTCAATTTGCCCTCCATTTCCAGTGCGGGGGGGGGTTCGTGGAACACCGGACAAACACATGGGGAACCCGTACCCCCCCCCAACCCGAAATTCGGGTCTTCGGGTTGGGTTGTGGTGGTCTGGTAGGTAGTCAAAGATGGGCTTCCCGTCGAATATTCGGACCATCTCTGCAGTGCTCCGTAGATCTGCGAACTGTGCCATGTACTTCCACCCCCTACTCGATCGCTGTGTAACTAGCGTGGCACTTGGGCCTGCCAAGAGGGGTGTCGGCCAAGAGAGCTCTCCACGAACTCGTTTGCGCCCAGAGGGCAGACGCCTCTCAAGCAGGTATAAGTTTGCTGTTCTTTGGGGTAGGCGCGTTTTTGTCTTCACAGCCAGCAGGAACATCGCGGGCTGAAGGAAAAGGATACCCAGACCCCCTCGCGTCGTGAAGAAATCACGACGGGAGCTTTTTTTTTTTTTTTTTTTTTTTTTTTTTTAAATTTTCGTTCTCCAGGGGACCTCGTCGGGCCTCGAGACTGTTGAACAACGACTCGGGATGAAAAACCGGTCCCCGGGAAGGGGTCCAGACTTTGAGGGTCACGTTATGAAAGAATCCAGACGTCGGGGGTCTGCGGAGGGAGGAAGGGGAGGAGGATTTAGAGGTGGTGGTGGTGGTGGTGGTGGGTCGTCAGTGTGGGGGGCCGCCAGTCTCTCTACAGCAGCGAGGCAAGCTCGCTGGCCCCTCCTATAAGATGTCGAAGCTGGGCCGCCAGAGAGACACTCTGCAAAGCAAACTGAGTCCACTCCAGCGTAAGCTGCCAGCGTAAGGTCGCGCGTAAGCGCCCTCGTTTCCAGTGTGGCGTGTCGCGCTGGCGGCCCGTGTAAGCCAGCGCCTAAGTTCGCTATGCCATCTCGCGGAAGGCCCGTTTCTTTTCGTCGCCCAGTTGAGCATCGCGACAGAAGACCGCAAAGCCTAGGGCGAGCGCGCGCAGCTCGCGACCGCGAGCGCAGCCCCAGCAGCGGGGAATGCCCCCGCTGGGCTTGCGCCCGGACGGCGTGCGGACAGTCTTTCCGCAAAGTGTCCGGCGCCTGCGGCAGAATTGTATGAAGGGTAGCCCCGAACAGCGGCCCAAAAAGGCCCTAAGATGGCCCAAGATGGCGTCAAGATGGCCCAACAAAAGGTCCGAGGCGATCGAGTTTGCCGCTTGCTCTCGCTGCAGCCACGTTGGCTCAGGTGGGCCTCTCCTCGACGAGCGGCCTCACGCCGTCACAGAAAGAACCCGCGGGTTCCGTCCCCATGCCAAGCAGGTTGCATGAAGGGTCAGATTCTAATTGCCACATTGGGGTTGAGTCGGGCATGTCCCTCTACAGGAGGAATATGCAAGAATAGAACAAATGGCCTGTGGACGCTCCCTACTATTGTTGATTATTCACTATTCTTCAATTTGGGTTTGACTCTTTTTTCGTCCACTATCCGCCTGTAGGAGGACATGCCCGACTTCACATTGGGGGGCGCGCTAGGGCCTCGAGGAGTTAGGGGGCGGGAGGGGGGGGCGCTCGGGCACCCGTTCAAGCGGAAAATTCGAGTCTGGTGAGCTGGCCCAGAGGCGCTTCACGGTGCACCCACAGCTGAAGTCGAAGCCAAAGCTGAAGTGCACAGAACAATGGAGAGGGCCCACACTGCAGGTTTGGTTGGCAGTACATTGTTGAGCGGTGTTGCAGCCTCCCCTGAGCGCAGGCCCCCCCCAGTCGAGGATTTAGAGGAGGAGGAAGACCAGTGTAAACCCAAGCGCCATCAACGACGTCGGAATATACCCTCCCTCCAAGCTCCTTGGTCATAGGCCCCGACAACGGTTCATTCCCATTCAAGGAGCTGCCTCGTTGGAAGACAACTGTTAGAAGACTTTGAGGTGAAGCATGCCAAAACATTGTTCTCGGGATCCCACACCACGGATCAACCTGACTATTGCGTATTGACGATCCTGGATCGTGCCAAAAAGCCATCCATGGGACTTCAACACAGCGAACCAACGTAACGTTGCACCTGCATAATCCTGAATCCGTTCAACACACCATTCTTGGTACGTTGATGATGGGGATCCATCCAACCCTTGCAAATTTGGCAAACGAATGCGCGCGGTGCTGAGCGAGAGCCACATGTTGAAAATGAACCGCATTCAATCCGTGAACTCTTGCAATGTTGTAATACGAATGTGCGCAGCACTGAGGCGAGAACCACATTTTGAAATGGAGCCGCCCTCAATCCATGAAGCTCTTATAATTTGTTGAACGACTGCGCGCGGCGCGAAGGCGAGAGCCACATTTTGAAAACGACCCGCCCTCAATGTGTGAAACTCTTGCATGTTTTAAACGAATGTGCGCCGCGCTAAGGCGAGATCCACATTTTGAAAGCCACCCGCCCTCAATCCGTGAAGCGCTTGCAAATGTTTAGAACGAATGTGCGCCGCGCTAAAGCGAGAGCCACATTTTGAAAGCCACCCGCCCTCCATCTGTGAAGCTGTTGCCAATTTTTAAACGGCAGGGTCATAGATGGTGAAGAAGTCTCAGGCGGAACGCCCGGCCCGCCCTAAAAGCTGTCCTCGGGGTGCGACGGGGAGAAGCTATTCATAAGGAAAAGGAATGGAGGATGATGAGGAGGAGGAGGTTGTTGGGTTGAGCGGGGAGGGGGGGGGACTGGATGGAAACCGGCAGAGAGCCACAGAGAGCAGCGGAGAACAGCAGAGAGCAACAGAGCAGCAGCATATATAGAGCAGCGGAGTGCAGCAGAGAGCTGCAGGAGGCAGTGCTCGCGCTCGGACTCGCACACACTCTGTCTTGCTCGTGCTCAAGCTCCGCCCACGCTCGGACGCTCGCAGAGGAAAGTGCCAGAGCACGACGTCAGCACGTTGGGACTGCAGCCTCCAGTGGTTCTCTCAGGTGACTGGGTCTTCTAAGAAGACAGCCTCTATGGCGTGCTGGTCCGTCTTCTTCTGGGGCCGCGGTTTTACCAACGTTTTGCGAATGATTATCGCACGGTGGTCTTTGTAGTTGGCGGCGTCGGTCGGTTGCCTTGGGAAGGGGGGAGGGGGTACGTAGAAGCTGGGTCGTGTCGCCGTGGATATCTTGGTGCCCGCTTCGAATGCGAACATTAACATCAAGAGCTCCAGAAACACACGCCGAAACATCCACACGTCGGAGGTGCCCCCTCCCTCTGGCCCTCGGGCTCTTAATTCTGCAGCCATTTTGGCTTAAGGGTCTTGCTCAAGACGAGCGACTGTCCTCCTTGCGGCGCGCACCTAGCAAGGACTCGTATCCACCAGGATCCCGTAGGGATGGCAGGCTTGGTGGATCCTCCTGCAAACCTGAAGGGCCCCGACCTGATCGAGAAGAACAAGTGGTTCATCTACATTTGCTGCGGAGGCTGTGGCTGGGGAGACTGGAAGGACCCCCTGTGCGGCTCCGACGTCGAGGACCTGACCCAGAAGGCGACCTGCAACACGACGTCGTTGATGAACGACGACGGTCTCTGCGCTTGCCTCAACTTTCAGATGAACCAGACGGCGCAGTGCCAGTGCCCACCCGTGGATGGCGCGCCGAAGTGCGTCTGCTTCAACACGCCCCTGGTGCCTGGAGGTGGCATGAGCAAGAAGAAGGGGGACGTCGAGTACCAGGCGATCTTCGGGGACACCTGGTGGTACACCTACATCTTCTGCGGCGGGTATGGCTGCAACGGTCTGAAGGCTTTGGATCGCCCGATGATTGCAGGATACCAGAAGTTCTTGATCGTCGAGGGGTCCATGGGCCTGAACGAGAAGAACGAGTGGCCCGGGGCGGGCAACGGCATGACGAAGTGCACGGCTGGCCTCTGCAGCGGCGACAATGTCTGCATGCAGTCTGTGGAGACGTGCCTGTGCATCTACACGCAAGTCAAGATCCCGCCAGAGCAGGGCGCGAAGAAGTGTGTCTGCTGCGCCAAGGACATCGTTCCGTGAGGCACGCGCGGGGGAGTCCAGGCAGGGAATGACGCACACAAGCCACATATTGAGCATTCGAACGTGGGCGGACCTCCAATACGAGAGGACTGCCGGTTTTTCGACGGATGCCTGAGTCTGGCGCACCCTTCATCGTACCTTTTTTTGACACGCTGCGCCACGGTGCGAACGAAATTCAGCGTGTCCTCGAGATGATTGCGGCTCCTCTTGCTTCCACTCCTTGGCTGCTGCACCCTCCCCGTCCCACAGCAGAGAACAGCAGAGAACAGAGAGCATCGCTCGAACTCGGACTCACTCACGCTCAGTCGTACTGACGCTCAGACTCGCCCACGCTCAGACACTCACAGACAAAAGAGCCAGGGCACTATGTGCGCAAGTGAGGATTTCAGCATCGAGGGATTCTCGCACGGTGGTCTTTGTAGTTGACGGCGTCGGTCGGTTGCCTTGGGAAGGGATGAGGGGGTACGTAGAAGTTGGGTTGTCTCGCCTGTGGATATCTGGGTGCCCGCTTCGAATGCGAACATTACTTAACATCAAGAGCTCCAGAAACACACGCCGAAACATCCACACGTCGGAGGTGCCCCCTCCCTCTGGCCCTCGGGCTCTTAATTCTGCAGCCATTTTGGCTTAAGGGTCTTGCTCAAGACGAGCGACTGTCCTCCTTGCGGCGCGCACCTAGCAAGGACTCGTATCCACCAGGATCCCGTAGGGATGGCAGGCTTGGTGGATCCTCCTGCAAACCTGAAGGGCCCCGACCTGATCGAGAAGAACAAGTGGTTCATCTACATTTGCTGCGGAGGCTGTGGCTGGGGAGACTGGAAGGACCCCCTGTGCGGCTCCGACGTCGAGGACCTGACCCAGAAGGCGACCTGCAACACGACGTCGTTGATGAACGACGACGGTCTCTGCGCTTGCCTCAACTTTCAGATGAACCAGACGGCGCAGTGCCAGTGCCCACCCGTGGATGGCGCGCCGAAGTGCGTCTGCTTCAACACGCCCCTGGTGCCTGGAGGTGGCATGAGCAAGAAGAAGGGGGACGTCGAGTACCAGGCGATCTTCGGGGACACCTGGTGGTACACCTACATCTTCTGCGGCGGGTATGGCTGCAACGGTCTGAAGGCTTTGGATCGCCCGATGATTGCAGGATACCAGAAGTTCTTGATCGTCGAGGGGTCCATGGGCCTGAACGAGAAGAACGAGTGGCCCGGGGCGGGCAACGGCATGGCGAAGTGCACGGCTGGCCTCTGCAGCGGCGACAATGTCTGCATGCAGTCTGTGGAGACGTGCCTGTGCATCTACACGCAAGTCAAGATCCCGCCAGAGCAGGGCGCGAAGAAGTGTGTCTGCTGCGCCAAGGACATCGTTCCGTGAGGCACGCGCGGGGGAGTCCAGGCAGGGCTTGACGCACACAAGCCACATATTGAGCATTTGAACGTGGGCGGACCTCCAATACGAGAGGGCTACCGGTGTTTCGATTGATGCCATAGTCTGACGCGCCCGTCATCGTGCCTTTTTTTGACACGCTGCGCCACGGTGCGAACGAAACTCAGCTTGTCCTCGAGATGATTGCGGCTCCTCGTGCTTCCACTCCTTGGCTGCTGCACCCTCCCCGTCCCACAGCAGAGAACAGCAGAGAACAGCAGAGGGGAACGCTCGAGCTCGGACTCACTCACGCTCAGTCGTACTCACGCTCAGACTCGCCCACGCTCAGACGCTCACGGACAAAAGAGCCAGGGCACTACGTGCGCAAGTGAGGATTTGACCATCGAGGGATTCTCGCACAGTGGTCTTTGTAGTTGACGGCGTCGGTCGGTTGCCTTGGGAAGGGATGAGGGGGTACGTAGAAGTTGGGTTGTCTCGCCTGTGGATATCTGGGTGCCCGCTTCGAATGCGAACATTAACATCAAGAGCTCCAGAAACACACGCCGAAACATCCACACGTCGGAGGTGCCCCCTCCCTCTGGCCCTCGGGCTCTTAATTCTGCAGCCATTTTGGCTCAAGGGTCTTGCTCAAGACGAGCGACTGTCCTCCTTGCGGCGCGCACCTGGCAAGGACTCGTATCCACCAGGAAGGATCCCGTAGGGATGGCAGGCTTGGTGGATCCTCCTGCAAACCTGAAGGGCCCCGACCTGATCGAGAAGAACAAGTGGTTCATCTACATTTGCTGCGGAGGCTGTGGCTGGGGAGACTGGAAGGACCCCCTGTGCGGTTCCGACGTCGAGGACCTGACCCAGAAGGCGACCTGCAACACGACGTCGTTGATGAACGACGACGGTCTCTGCGCTTGCCTCAACTTTCAGATGAACCAGACGGCGCAGTGCCAGTGCCCACCCGTGGATGGCGCGCCGAAGTGCGTCTGCTTCAACACGCCCCTGGTGCCTGGAGGTGGCATGAGCAAGAAGAAGGGGGACGTCGAGTACCAGGCGATCTTCGGGGACACCTGGTGGTGCACCTACATCTTCTGCGGCGGGTATGGCTGCAACGGTCTGAAGGCTTTGGATCGCCCGATGATTGCAGGATGCCAGAAGTTCTTGATCGTCGAGGGGTCCATGGGCCTGAACGAGAAGAACGAGTGGCCCGGGGCGGGCAACGGCATGACGAAGTGCACGGCCGGCCTTTGCAGCGGCGACAATGTCTGCATGCAGTCTGTGGAGACGCGCCTGTGCATCTACACGCAAGTCAAGATCCCGCCAGAGCAGGGCGCGAAGAAGTGTGTCTGCTGCGCCAAAGACATCGTTCCGTGAGGCACGCGCGGGGGAGTCCAGGCAGGGCTTGACGCACACAAGCCACATATTGAGTATTCGAACGTGGGCGGACCTCCAATACGAGAGGGCTACCGGTGTTTCGATTGATGCCATAGTCTGACGCGCCCGTCATCGTGCCTTTTTTTGACACGCTGCGCCACGGTGCGAACGAAACTCAGCTTGTCCTCGAGATGATTGCGGCCCCTCGTGCTTCCACTCCTTGGCTGCTGCACCCTCCCCGTCCCACAGCAGAGAACAGCAGAGAACAGCAGAGGGGAACGCTCGAGCTCGGACTCACTCACGCTCAGTCGTACTCACGCTCAGACTCGCCCACGCTCAGACGCTCACGGACAAAAGAGCCAGGGCACTACGTGCGCAAGTGAGGATTTCAGCATCGAGGGATTCTCGCACGGTGGTCTTTGTAGTTGACGGCGTCGGTCGGTTGCCTTGGGAAGGGAGGAGGGGGTACGTAGAAGTTGGGTTGTCTCGCCTGTGGATATCTGGGTGCCCGCTTCGAATGCCAATGTTGGCGTCGAGAGCTCCAGAGGTACACGTCGAAACATCCACACGTCGGAGGTGACCCCTCCCTCTGGCCCTCGGGCTCTTAATTCTGCAGCTATTTTGGCTCAAGGGTCTTGCTCAAGACGAGCGACAGTTTTCCTTGCGGCGCGCACCTAGCAAGGACTCGTATCCACCAGGATCCCGTAGGGATGGCAGGCTTGGTGGATCCTCCTGCAAACCTGAAGGGCCCCGACCTGATCGAGAAGAACAAGTGGTTCATCTACATTTGCTGCGGAGGCTGTGGCTGGGGAGACTGGAAGGACCCCCTGTGCGGCTCCGACGTCGAGGACCTGACCCAGAAGGCGACCTGCAACACGACGTCGTTGATGAACGACGACGGTCTCTGCTCTTGCCTCAACTTTCAGATGAACCAGACGGCGCAGTGCCAGTGCCCACCCGTGGATGGCGCGCCGAAGTGCGTCTGCTTCAACACGCCCCTGGTGCCTGGAGGTGGCATGAGCAAGAAGAAGGGGGACGTCGAGTACCAGGCGATATTCGGGGACACCTGGTGGTGCACCTACATCTTCTGCGGCGGGTATGGCTGCAACGGTCTGAAGGCTTTGGATCGCCCGATGATTGCAGGATACCAGAAGTTCTTGATCGTCGAGGGGTCCATGGGCCTGAACGAGAAGAACGAGTGGCCCGGGGCGGGCAACGGCATGACGAAGTGCACGGCCGGCCTTTGCAGCGGCGACAATGTCTGCATGCAGTCTGTGGAGACGTGCCTGTGCATCTACACGCAAGTCAAGATCCCGCCAGAGCAGGGCGCGAAGAAGTGTGTCTGCTGCGCCAAGGACATCGTTCCGTGAGGCACGCGCGGGGGAGTCCAGGCAGGGCTTGACGCACACAAGCCACATATTGAGCATTTGAACGTGGGCGGACCTCCAATACGAGAGGGCTACCGGTGTTTCGACTGATGCCTTAGTCTGACGCGCCCGTCATCGTGCCTTTTTTTGACACGCTGCGCCACGGTGCGAACGAAACTCAGCTTGTCCTCGAGATGATTGCGGCTCCTCGTGCTTCCACTCCTTGGCTGCTGCACCCTCCCCGTCCCACAGCAGAGAACAGCAGAGAACAGAGAGAAACGCTCGAACTCGGACTCACCGTTCTCATCGTGCTCCCACGCCTCATCGTGCTTCTATTCCTTGGCTGCTGCACCCTCCCCGTCTTCATAACCATGAAGCGCTGACCGTTGAGGTCGGAACGGGCGCGGAAAGACTCGGGAGGCGGAGAAGGAGCGGGAGGAGGAGGAGGAGGAGGAGGAGGAGGAGGAGGAGGAGGAGGAGGAGGAGGAGGCGGAAGAGGAGGAGGGCAGGGGCTCCAAGAGGGAGCGGAGAGCTGGGCGCACCTTGGGCCAGGGGCACCGAAAGGAAGGGGGCGAAGACGGACCGCAGCTCTTGCTCGCTCGTAACAGGGCCGGCTGGCGGTGCCGCCGCGGGCGTTGCCAGCACACATTTGAGACAGCAGGCCGCCTGCCCAGCAGCGGCCGCTGCTGGTTGTGGCCAGCGCTTGCTATTGGGCATCGAGTCTTCCCTTCCTCCCTCCTCCCTCCCTCCCTCCCTCTCTTTTTTCCTCCCTCCTCCTCCTCCTCCTTCTCCTCCTCCTTCTCCTCCTTCTCCTCCTCTTCCTCTTCCTCCTCCTCCTCCTCCTCCTCCTGCCTCCTCTTTCCTCCTCCAAGCTTCGCATTTTGAGGGCCTGGGGGCCAGAGGATGCGGCAGGCTCGCGGCGGCCCACCCCGTGCCTTCGGGTCTTCGTGGCAGCCCGGCGGCAGGAGCAGGTCGTGCGGCTGGGCTCCCCCGCCCTGCGCGCCTGATGCGGGGCCCTCGCGGGCGGCGGCGCGCGGGGCTTGTCGCGCACTGCCTTCGACCCCGCTGGGGGTGGCGCCACCGCCGCGCGGTCGCACCGCGTCCGGCATCCGGTGCTGGGTCCTGGTGCTCGGCGGGGCGTTGCGTCACGGGGAGGGGGAGGATAATGGGGGGAGGGGGGGGGGGATGATGGGGGTGGGGGGGGGATAATGGAGGGTAATGGGGGGAGGGGGGGGGGGGATGATGGGGGTGGGGGGGAGGGGAGGCGCACCTCTGGTGCCCCGAGGGGCCCCTGGAGCGGCCCCCGTGGGCCCCAAAAAAGGGGCATGTGAAAGGTGTGGCGGCGAGACAGGGGGGGGGGGAAGTGAGAAGCGGCGGGCCTTTTCAGAAGGCTCGGAAGCCCCGCAGCCTGCCGAGAAGTTTTCTGAGCCCTCTCCCCGCAGGCGCAGAACACCTCTCAGAAGGCCGGAGCGCTTCTGAGAAGCCCCGCGCTGCCTTCGGAGAAGGCCTTCTCCTTGTCACTTCCACCCCTTCGTTTGCCGCCGAAGGTCGGTCCCCCGACCCCTCCGCAGGGTCCATCCGACGCGGTTTCTCGCCCCGGATCGAGTTTCGGGGGTCCGGGGGCTGGCCCCCGGAGGCCGACAACGAGGAAGAGAACGAGTTCTAAGTTCGAACTTCCCCCCCCTCGCTCGCCGCCGACAGGTGCACGTTTCTCCCCCCTCCATGTCTTGGCATCGCTGGGACGTGTGCACTTTTTTTTTTTTGTTCTCTCTCTCTCTCTCTCTCTTTTTTTTTTTCTCTCTCTCTCTCTCTCTCTCTTTCTCGGCGAGGGCCATGAGCCTTTTCGATATAGAAAAACATCGGGCAAGTTTGCAAGCATGGCGTTCGCCCCCTCCCCTCCTCGCCCCTCTTTAGACGAAAACTGGCGTGCAAATGCCTTTCGACGTGCGTGGTTTCCGCACGTGCAAGTCGTTAGCGGGTCACTCCACTGTCCATGAAAGTACACATGCCAGAGTCTTAAACAAACAGGCTCCATTCAGGAGCCTTTTGGGTCATCTTGCGAGGAAGTGCACAGGGAATGAACGTCCGAGCAATTGGGACCCTGAGGAGGAGGAGGAGGAGGAGGAGGAGGAGGAGGAAGAGGAGGAGGAGGAGGAGGAGGGGAGCAGGAGGAGGAGGAGGAAGTAGAGGAGGAGGAGGAGGAGGAGGAGGTAGGAGGAGGAGGAGGAGGAGGAGGGGGGGGAGGGGAGGAGGAGGAGAGGAGGAGGAGGAGCGAGGAGGAGGAGGGGAGGAGGAGGAGGAGAGGAGGAGGAGGATGAGGAGGAGGAGGAGGAGGAGGAGGAGGAGGTGGGGAGGAGGAGGAGGGGAGGAGGAGGAGGGGGAGGAGGAGGGAGGCGGAGGAGGAGGAGGAGGAGGAGGAGGAGGAGGAGGAGGAGGAGGAGGAGAAGAGGGAGGAGGAGCAGGGAGATGTGCATCGCCCCCCCTACGTAGTAAAAGCAGCGCCCGCGCCCGATGCCGGGGTCCTGAGCGGCGCCGCGCAGGTCCTGCGTGGCGGTTCCGCGTGGCTCCCGCTGTCGTTTCGCCGCTCCCGCGCCCACGGGCGCCAGGCCGAGA